TTTCCCTCTCTCCCTCTCTTTCTCTCCGCTCTACACTCTCACTGTGTCTGTCTCACGTTTGCTTTGCTCCTGCACGAGCAGCCCTAACCCCGAGGGTGTATGGGGGAGGCAACAGCTCACACCCCGGGTCTGAGAGCGAGACTGATGTAACGCCTTCATCAAGTCTTTGTCAGGCGTTTCTGAGAGAAGTCAGCTGATTTTTACGCACAGGAGCCACCGCTGCTGTTGCTGCTGCTGTTGCTGCTGCTGATGTTGCTGCTGCTGATGTTGCTGCTGCTGATGTTGCTGCTGCGCGCCTTTGACGCCGTCAGTCTCAGTACCTGTCGAACCAGGTGGTGAAGTCCAAAAGTTCCTGTTCCTCGGAGCTCAGAGGCTCGTAGCTGCCTTCATCTGACGAGTATGTGGAGTGAGGCGACTCGGGGTCGGCAGAGTAGCTGTTGGACAGCGTCGGGGACGGCAGTCCGCACTGAAAAGCGGCGGAAACCGCGTCGTGTTCGTCCAGAAGTTGCTGCAGAGCCCTGATGTACTCCACCGCGGACCTCAGAGTCTCCACCTTGCTCATCTTCTTGTTTGCGGCGCCGTTGGGCACATGCTGACGCAGCGTCTGGAAGCCCATGTTCACCTGCTTAACCCGGTTCCTCTCCCTTTCATTGCGGCGGGCCACGGCCACTGGCTGCTGCTGAGGGATGGAGTAGCCGAGGCCGTTGAAGCTGAGGCGCCGCTTGCAGCGCAGCAGTTCCGGGGAGCTGGAGCGCTGTCTCTTCAGCACCTTGGCTTTGCTTTGGAAACCGACGGTGCCGGCGTCCTGGTGCGCACTCGGGTCGGTGCAGTCCTGTGCCGGTGCGTGCAGACTAATGGCCGCGCGTCTTTCAGTAAGTCCAAAGGTGAATGCAGTCTGCGTGGTAGTGATGGTTGTAGTTTCCATCTCGATGACAGCGGGCTGGTGAAGTGATGGATGTCAGAGAGGGGGGTGAGTGCGGACCCAAAACAGTGGTGGCACAAGAAGAGCGCGTTGCTTGGCAGTGTACAGCTCTCGTGTCCTTCGCGTGGGGACCGTGTGGCCAACTCTAGTCAAAGTCTCTCCTCACTGCTTTTCTCCACGAGCCGATCTGACCCAAACTTTGGCAGCACTCCTCTTTTTCAACACGCGCCCCCCAACACACACCTCACCCAGCCCTTTCTGGGAGACGCACGCTTCGTGGCGAGGCCCCGCCCCCGTTCTGTGATTCTCCTGCACGTCCACTCCCCCACCGGGTGAGGCGCGTGGCTCGGGGAGCTCAATAAACAATCCCTAGCTTTCAGAGCGCCCGGAGCACGCGTTCGGCTCATTTACATTCCAATGTGCCCAACCTGAAGGCCTATTGGTGGATTCAAACAGCTCTGCAACCGTGCGACAAGAGAGAAAAAGGAGGGGAGCGACAAAAAGAACTTTAAAAAGAGAGAGAATTGTAGAAAAAAAGAATGGTTCAGCTGTTTGGAATACCTTTTGAATTTGACAATGTTTGTAACCTCTGGCAAGACATTTCATTATCAGTCCCGGTTCCTCCTCCTTCCATCTTTCTCCCCTGGCTCTTTACCACCACAAATACCAAAGACGCTCTCTCCTGTATCCAGGCTACAGCTCTGCTCTGTTTCAATAAAGAGCAACGAGACTCCGGGCACAAAACTTTGAAGACCGTGACTACAGACCGATACTAATGACAAGGCATTACATTAACGACACATAAACCCAACACGCACCTTCGTACAAATGTCATGTATTTTCTCCATAATCCTAAACTGTTGAATGTGTTTAGTTCGTTTGGTTGAGCACAAAACACAGGCGCGAGAACGCAGCGTTCAGCACCACAGTCGACTGGACAGTTAAACAACACGTCACCGTCCACTGGTGTTGAAGCTGTGGTGGTTTGTTTCCAAGTTTAAACTGAGATTTAGTTGTAATTTCCTGTCAAGGTCAGTCCCTGCTCGGTGTGACAAACTTTTTAAGAGAAATCGTGAGTTGAGATCCGTTACATGGTAAAGACTAGACCCGAAAACTTTAGACTATAGCGACCTCTGGTGGCCTTAAAGAAAACTGTCTTCTCCGTGTTACTAATTTAACAGCAATAGTCCGCAGAGGGAGTTTTTACACCAGAATCCCTGCGCTGACGAAATACAATCAGGGATAGGAAAGCAGGTGGAATCGAGCTAGAAACCTTTGGTACAACAAGCGTGTATGTTGGACAGAAATAGAGAAATATTAGTTTGTAGAGTGTGTTACGTTCATTTGGACATACGAAACTTTATTTGTCCCAATATTTCCCGGTTAATGTTAAAAATGTTAAAACTACCGGAATTAACCGAGAGGTTCACGTTGTCCTGAACGTGATGGATGTGTATGGATTGTTTTCATGATTCTCTGATTGTGTGTGTAAATTCTCCATTTCTTCTGTTTAGAGTCGTGTCCTGTCAACAGCAGAGGGCGCTAGTAAATCGGATTGCCTTAGCAATAGAATGGGGCAGTCAATAAAAGCAATTCGTAATAATTGGGGTCTGGGGGGCGTACTTAAACAGGCAGTGACACAGTAATGCCTGTCTACAGTGCTCTTGGTCTTTTTTTCTAACCGTCAATAATGACATTATTATTATAACATTCCAAAAAATCCCAAAAAATTGTCATCAGAATGTTCTGCCAATTCACACATAAATATGTGTTTATTTACTCTACATTACGGACCAAACCACCAAAGTAACAATTTAACCCTTTGAAGGAGAATGACAGTTACTAGATCACAAATGGGAAAACCCCCCACATTCAATAATCCATTCATTATAGTGTGAACTGGACAGATCAAAATGTACTCATTTCTAAATTGTTGCATTGCATTATGTTGAGACTATGTTTATGAAACAAAAAAAAATGGGGCATGTAAGTGAAAACTGCAATAGGCAAAAACTGGAACCCCCCAACAAGGCCCAATGTCACTAATCTGTCTTAGTCGTGTCTTCTTTTTCTTCTTCTTCTTTTTTTTTTTTTTTTTTTTTTGCTTGTGGCTATTTAAGTCCCCAGAATCCTAGCCGTGGTAAAACAAAGAAAAAAATCCCACAACCTGAGCTGCCACACGTGCCATTCTAAGTTAGCATTTTTTCCAGTCAAGGCCAAGGGTGCGGCTGTAAATAGCAACCACCATCAACACCCAGAAACTCCTGTGAAACAACCACAACTTCTGGTGTATTTTAAGGCACTTGTAATTTTGGTCTATGTGTCCATGATAAGAGGGAGATATGAATGAACGGTGGCTCTGCAAAGAGATAATATTTAAAAGGAGTAGCACGCACTGTGAATCACAGCATAAAATGGGATGTGAATCTTTCGGTCAGGTCTGTCAACAACCCGCCTCCCTCCGTCCTTCATGGCCGCAGAGGCCACTCTTGAAAAGCAAGATTTGCTCCATTATTGAGGAAAAAGGAACCGCCGCAACAAAGCTTGTATCGCTTCTCTATTCAAACATATACTCTACGCACATACAGTACACACAGCGTTCACTTCAAGGGTCTGTGGCCGACAGTTTCTAAACCAAAGAGCGTCATGGTATTCATTGTGAGTAAGGAATTCCAGAGCATGCATAAGGAAGTTTAAAAAGGTAACAAGTGAAAAAAAAGCAGAAGCAAGTGTTATTAATATACGTATCTAGAACTTAGGTGACCGAAACAAAGGGGGATCTCCCTTGCACTCTCACCCACTGTATGGTTATAAATATTCTTTATCAAACGCAAAATAAATCCCACACCTGCAGTATTCCGACTGTTTCTTTGGTTGATTTAACTGCCAACAATTTTCCGAGACTGTAGTTTCACAGGAGGTGATGTTTTAATGCTCAAAACTTACAGGCAGAAAGTACAATGTAAATGGTCTGCACTACAAGTATATAGTTTGGTAGCTTCCAAATTAAAGTTAAATACAGTGATCACTAATCATCATTGGGGCCCACCTTGAAAACCCACAACACTTAGGTAGGCCACACCTCCTTCCCAACCTGGTTGACATACCCCACAATTTTGAAAAACAACAACAACAACAACAACAACAACAGACTTTCTTATAAATGCAGGGCTCAAATGACTGGAACACACATATGAAGCCTGCATTTATTTATTAATAAAAATGTCAACTTTTGATTTTTAAATTTACAAATGAAATGTTTATTTAAACACCTTTATTGTGTGATCACGAAATACTTTCACTTTACCTCCCGGATTTTGAAAGTAAAACCCCTTAACTTCTACCGAAGTACTCCCTTCCTACGTCACCAGAGGGCGTCTCTGTTGCTTTGTCATACGTGGTCATACACACCGAGAGATTATAAACGCCTTCAAGTTCTGTGGGGAGGCAGAACTACAGATAGACTGACGGCGGACTCACACACCTGCTGAGACATGCAGAGGTATGGAGAGAGAGAGACCGTGTTCTACGTGTTATGGAGTTATTCCGTTTAAATCATGTCAATCTTTATTTATTCTGTCTGCCGGTGATGGCCGCCTTCCTTCCCTTTCTGCCTTGTTGTTTGGAATAACACTGATCTGTGTCATGTTTCTCCTCAGCCCCCCGAAGCCACAGTTTGCCAGCTGGCTGCTGAGACAGTTGGAGACAGGACAGTACTCTGGACTGTGCTATGTGGGTCACAACCGGTTCAGAGTTCCCTGGAAGCACAACTCGAGGAAGGACTGCAGGGATGAAGATTGTGAAATATTTCGGGTAAGTCTTTTTGGCCTTTGGACCTTTCCACCTGCCGATGACAGGTTTATGGCTGTGTTGACGTCACACCGAGGTTACTGGAATTAGATTGTATTGTTTCCTGATTTGCGAAACAAAGAATGTAAAATGAAGTGTTTTTGCAGCTGTGCCAAGAGTTTCTCGCTGTAAGAGTCCTGGTTTATTCAAAGGTAGACAAAAGTACTACAACTTTAACTGTAGCCAGCAAGCAGAAGTACGATTAATCAATTGAATACTTATCTATGATTTTTAAAAATAGAAATTAAACAGATGAAGAAGTCTGTTTAGCACTTTGTTAGCTTGTATGTGCTTTCCCACTGCACAGTTGTCACAACAAAAGATAATAAAAAATGTCATAAAGATATAATCTGAAACAAAAATACTAAAATATAACTGTTTACAGTGTTTTGATGAGTAAACACAATGTTATGTACAAGCCTGATACTCGGTGTGTGGTTCATAGGCGTGGGCGGTTGCAAGTGGCAAAATAAACGAGTTCCCCAATGACAAAGCACGCTGGAAAACCAACTTCCGATGCGCCCTGAACAACCTGTCTGTGCGTTTCAAGAAGGTGGAGGATAATTCCAAGAACTCCGACGACCCGCACAAAATCTACGAAATCACTAACGCCAATGGTGAGCTAGATATTGATAATGTAATGAGTTGCCTTCTCTTTAAAAATCCTTTGCAGTTGGTGTTTTTGAACTAATGCAGGTTTTGGCTTGTGCAGGTAGACAGGAAGTTCTGCCCAATGAAAAGGCTCCGGAGGATTTGATGGCGACTTTAGACATCTACAGTTCTCCTACAGAGTACTTCCCCACAGGAGCTGAGGTGCAGTGTTGCCTAAAGCCAACTTTCACTTCTGTTTATTTATTTATTATGCAAGAGGACCATTTCTGCAAATATTTGGCCTTTGTGGTTTTGTCAAATATATGCAGTATTTTCCGTGATGTCTTGATATTCTCCTCCTGAACAGCCCTATCTGGTCCACAATTTTACAGCATTGGATCTGGAAAACCAACCTGCAGGTAAACTGCCTGATGTCGTGCCACGTGTTGGCTGAAAATGGTAAATGATAGCAATGAACCTAAAATGTTTTTATCGTCTTCAGAGGAGCCACAGTGGGCAGATAACTACTGCCAGCCCAACCCAGCTGTCATTGAATGTTACCCTGCAGCAGCTGAGATCCATCCACCAGCTGCTCCACAGCAGCAGTCTTACTGTGAAGGTGACAGTCACCAGAACTCCACAAAAAATAAAAAATGGACTCATACTGCAGTATAAACTAAGAGATTCTGAACAACTTTTGAACTTTTGTCATTTTAGACACAAAAAAAAAATAAAAAATAAAAAATAAAAAAAAATATATATATATATATATATATATATATATTTAATCTTTTGTGTTTGTTTTTTTAAACAGTCAGTACTCAACCTGTCTTCAATTCAGCTATACAGCCAACTATCCGCGACCTGGAGATCTCCATCTTCTACAGAAAGAAAGAGATGCTCAAGACCACAGTGAGAACTTCTCGTCTCCAGCTCCACTACCAGCACCAGGATCCTAACCTCAATGACACCTATCACCTGTGTTTCCCCACTACTGACGGTCTGCTCGACCACAAACAGGTACAAAGTGCTGACAGTGTTATTTGTCACAACCTTAATTCATTCATCATCATCTCCTGACCTTTCTTTAACTTTTAAAGTCAAGTTAAGTCAATTTTATTTGCATAGCTCAAATATAAAAAAACAAATAGCAACTTCACACTTAAAAAAAAAAGTAAAAAAGTAAACATGATAGCAGTCATCACGTCTGCCTTGCACATTTGCCTCACATACAGAAGGTCCTGGGTTTGAGTCCCAAAGGAAAAACGTACTTAATGGCGCCTCCTGTGGCAATCTGTATTCGCTGCAAAGACTCACACTGAAATTTCCCCATCGTGGGACAAATATGGGACTTTTTAAAAAAAAAAAAAAAACAGAATATAATACAGATGTAACTGAAAACCAAATTTAATCACACACTGAGTAAGCACTTTGTCAACAGTGAGGGAGAGAGGGGCGGAGCTAAAGAAAACTCCCTTTTATCAGTAAGGTTCAGTGTCAGCCATCTGCCTCAGCAAAGAGAGGAAGGAGGAAATGGTGGAGACAGCAATACTTAACTAAAACAGTTCTATTGTGCAAAAATTTAAATTAAAAAACTGTAAAGTCCATTGCAGTAAGTCCAAATAAGTTTTGGGAGTTTGAGCTATACAAATCAAATTGACTTTATTTAAATTATTCAACATAATGCCTTCCATTACAATGACATTCTATTATTGCTATCACAGAAGCACTCATTCACTTGTAATGTTAACATCAACTTTGTAGTCCTGTAGGAGAGTGAACACTAATAAATGCTCAGAAATATTCATTTCCTGCCTATATGTTTATTTTTACCAAGTATACCTTTTCCCTGAGTCTGAAATTAACTCTCAACTAACCATCAATCGTTTGGCTTAGATCGACTTCACAAACAAAATTCTGAGCAGCATCCAGAGAGGTTTACTCCTGGAGGTCCAGGAAACTGGCATCTATGCATGGAGGCAGGACCGGTGCCATGTGTTTGCCAGCACCAGTGATCCCAGTGTTGCTCACCCAAACCCGAGAAAACTGCCCCAGAACACTGTGGAGGAACTGCTGAATTTTGAGACATTTGTCAAAGGTCGGTGTGGCTCTTCACTCTCTGTTCTATATGCTTCGACAGCATCAGCATCACACGTATGACGTCATGCCTTTTATTTTGTTCCTGTGCTGAAGAACTGAAAAGTTTTAAGGAGAACAACGGCAGCTCCCCTCGCTATACCATTAACATGTGCTTTGGAGAGAAGTTCCCTGACGGAAAACCTTTGGAGAAAAAACTAATCGTGGTCAAGGTACACACACACACACACACACACACACAAACACATAGGGTTTGGCTTCACCTTCTTTGCAGTTCTACCTTCTAATCTCTCAACTGGCTCATTTTTAGGTGGTTCCCTTGATATGTCAATATTTTCACGAGCTGGCCCAGATGGAGGGCGCCTCGTCTCTTCACAGCACCAACGTCAGTCTGCAGATTTCGCACAACAGCCTCTATGATCTCATCAACTCTGCCTTCGAGCTGCCAGCACCTGACGAAACAGTACAGGCTTTCCTACATTAGATCTCTTTACTTCCCTCTAAAGGCAACGACAGCTGCAGTCGATGGAAGCCACGAAATGTACCGCATCTTGTTCACTCTTCAGTTCAAACTAGGTCGGTTTCGGACGGGCTGCATACTAAGTGAGAATTTACTGATACATTTTTTAAATAGTATTTACCCCTTACTAAGACAGAAGTGTAAAGACGTGGGGAAGATAAGCAGCCAGAGGTTTGTACTGTCTGCTGAGGAGTGGAATAATTTCTTCAAGTGCCTTGATTATTTATTCATTACTTTTGTCTTATCACCTTGGGTGGGAGAAAACAGTGTCATCACTACTAAAAAGGAATGTCATCAATGCTAAACTGGACTGTTACTGTACTGTATTTATAGCAAGCAGGATTAATTCCATTTTTGATTTCAGTAAATATCACAATAATGGATAAATGCATGCCACCATATCTTATCCTATATACTGTATTTATAGTCTGACATTGTGTGTCATTAAGCTGTTTACTGTGTGTTAATGTCCTAGTTGATTTTCTCTGTACTCTCCTGGTTCTAAACTTTCTATTATTGGATTTTAAATAAATGGATTTAATCTAAAATGGTTTTTGAATTCATTCACACTAATGGCAATATTTACATTACACATTACCTTTGGAGCTGAAATCAGGCGTACTATGAAGAGGTTCAAGGATGTCCATTACAGTGAGTGTAAAAGTGTGTAAAAAGTGTAAAAGTAAAACAAATCAAAAAAGATGGCTGATCTTGACATTTGTTTGTGGATTTCTAGAGACACAGTAAAAAAAAATTAAACTAAGTTTTATTACTGTTGAAGTGGAAGACAAAGGCATATCATCTGAAGAGACTATAATGTCAGGTGATCCTCTCTTAGCTTTAAGAACCACCACCACTCAGTCAAGTCTTTGTCTTCAGGACATTGCTGGAGTTTGACAACCTGTCTATTTTCATCAGGCTGCATTGATAAATACGATTTTATGTTGTCTGCGTAAAAAAGGAAGTTGATATAATGCTTTCTAAGAATTAAAATAAATTAGATAGATTAGAGCACTGAGCCTTGAGGTATTCCTTTATGACTTCCGTGTGACTACTGGCACTATCACTGATATGAACACACTGTACAATTTTCATAACAGTTTACAATGATCAATAGTATGAAGCCTGCTAACACTAACTTTTAATAGCACCAGTATTGATGTCCATTATCTGTGGTCCTGATAAAACTGACACAGGTTCAACTTTTTATTTTTATCTTTACTAAAGGTCAGGAAAATACACCACTGGAGTTTGAGTTAACTATCGGTCACTGGCAGGAAAACTGAATGGAGTGATTCTAACGTTTCAAATAACCTTTTAAAACCAGTCATTAATGCCCTTAATCAGATCATAAAGTACCAGAAACAACTTATCTCTTAAATGTATTAATTTTCACTAATATTTATAAAAGAATTTTGAGCAAGACTCGTACCTTTTCGGTAATTCTGGGAGGCTGGTGACGTTTTGTGAAAGGATTTCCACCGAGGATCTACTGTATGCAAATACACATGCTGCCCCTAATGAAACAGAAAATGAAACAGAAAGTTTTTTTTTATTTTTTTTTTTATTTTTTTTTTTATTTTTTTTTTTATTTTTTTTTTTATTTTTTTTTATTTTTTTGGCACAAAACATTTTTACATTTTCTACAATGAAGCCAGAGGTGGAAAGTGTGTGACGTAGATGTCGATTTCAGTAGAACAAGTGTATCAAAAAACAAAAACAGATTTCAAGAAAAACTCCATTATTTTCAACTTGCCCCGGACTTCCTGTGTGTATGTGTGCCATCTATATCAAGCTTATTTAATATAATCATTGAAACATGGAAGAAACTTAACGGAGGCTTCTTTTAAATACAAAACAAAACAAAAAAAACATTTTAAACAAGAAACATCTGTCATTTTAAACAGGCAACGTGGATGAAATAATCAAAATGTATCAAAACTATTATTTACAATTAAATCTAAAATTGATATTTTCCATTCCCGATACATTTTCTACAAAATTTGCATAAGTGGTTTTAAATAAATTATGCAAAAACTGCATACTCTACCGAAACCTAATAAAACAAAAGGACTTTGCTACCATTACCTCCGAAAAAAAAAAGAATCCACAGCGCATCTTCCAGATACGTCTGTAGATAAGAACCTGGTTTCACAATCCACGGCTGGGTCTTTGGGGATTTGCCCCTTTGAGGCATCATCTCAGTTCTTGGAAGTGAGAAATTCAAGTACAGGATGTTAGTGATGACCAAAATTTGTCCCCAGAAATTCCATCAGGGACAGAGAGGTCAGAATGTCCCATCTTGACAGGAGTGACACCAGGCCAGACTGAGGCCACACTGGTTTTAACATGGACATTTGTGCTGCTGGATGTCGAGCTTTGAATTGGATTGAAAACAGTAAAGGACGATGCAGCAACAGCTGATGTGTGGCACAAAAGCTGCGCACAATTCACAGCCAGGCAGAGAGACATATTATTCTACAGTTTCTTTATCAACACCGTTATCTTCAGTGCTGACTTGTAGATGATGACAGGAACCATAAGACAGTTATGCAAGCATATTATTTTGTTTTAAACACATTATGTGATGTGTTTTTACAAAATAACACCATAAGTCTAATTTGGACAGTCAGGCTTCTACTGCACATCTTGCAGAAACAATTGGTAAAAGATTTTTGTAATGTGTAAACACTTACCTTTGTACTTTTTAAAAGATTTATGATAAAAGAGCTTTATTTTATCTTCAAAAATGTATTTGATTTAAAAAAATATTCTAATTATTATTTTTGAATGAAACATTGTCACAGGAGTCACTCTTGTCTTCATGTTGCAAAATGTAGGTTTTTAAAGTAAGGGCAAATATTCCAGTTTAATAAATACTGAATATGTGTATTGTATATCCATCATCTGATATAATTATTAGAGGTTTTGGGGAAAATGTGATTAAGAGCAGGGACCTAAGGTCCATAGGTTAATTGTACCAGGCCTCAGAGAAAAAAAATATTAATTTACTTCCAGAATGCGGTATTTTCCATTTACTTTAATCTAAAGTCTGGCTGTGATACTAACAAAATAAAGTCTAAAAGATGTTTTATTTTGAAAATGCTATCCTTAACATCCTGTAATGACCGTTCAATGATCTCCACAAACACCCCCTGTCTGCTGTATTGGCCAGTACCAGCTGACCAGTCCTTGGAACCAAAAAGTGCCGGGACCGCTGGTTTACAGCATTTTATACAACAGCAGCTGATTTGGGTCCAATATTCTGGTGTCTCTCACTGGTCTTGTGAGCTACAGCTTAAAACTGAAATTTTCTGGTGTGGCACATTTTGTTTTTATGAAATACAGTAAACCATCTGTGTTAATACCAAAAGCAAAGCCTGCTCATGCTTGGCATGTGTCCAGTGTGGCCCGCAGTCCTGGTGTCTAATTGTTTTGAGGGCTGTCAGAGACTTTCATGGGCTCAGTGTGAACTTCCGCTGTGTTCCCTGAGTCCTCTCCTTTCCTATGTTTCCTAGCGTGTTTGTATTTGTCCACATATGCTTTGACTAAATTACCCACCTTTAATGGGTTAATCTCACCGCTCTTGCTGTGACATACCTGACAAATAGGAACGCAGAAAAAACATTTTCAGAAAAAAAAAATGAACGAGATCAGGTTCTGAATTTTTTTCTATGTGGAACCCACCTTTTGAACAGCTTTGCGTAAAATCTCTTTGTATTCTTCTTTGTTGATGTCCCTCTTCTGGTAGAAAGGTTTGATGGCAAGCTTCACTTCTTCTACAGCTCGCTCCTGCATGTGCAGCTTCTTCAAATACTGTCAAGATGAATGAGACGTCATTCATGGCAAGTTTAGGATTCTGCTTTCATTTACTGCAGTTTAATACAATAACATGTACTGCTGAAAACTCACATTTGCCTTGTCATTCACGTTCACATCCACCTCCCCTGCCTCCTCCTGTCCAGTGACTGTTGAACCCTGTGGATGGAGGCTGACGGATCTAGAGGAGGTACGTTTGATTCCATCTTTTCTTTTTTTCACTATTTTAGCCATCTCCTGTGAATGGTGAAAGTTTGGGAATTTGGGGGGGAAAAAAAAAATCAAGCTAGTTCCTCACAACTCTTGGCAAAAGATAATAATTTAACCAACAGCTAATTGACACCAGATGTCGGACGTGTAGTAACATGAGAACAATTTTACAATGTTACCCTGTTGACAATTTGAAAAGCAATTTATTAACTGGCACCACAACCAACCACTGGCAAAAAAAAAGTCATTGTATGTGTGTCTTTTTTCATTATTATTGCATTTTACATTGAAGATAAGCTTTAAAAAATGTCATTCAAATAAATTTAAACAGCATCTCGGACAATAGAGTGTTTAGTTTCGTTTCCCTGGAAAGACCGGCACAACACAAGTTTCAGTTTCCACACGTGACGTTGGCATCACAACACATTTCCCTTCTGAAGACATACACTGCCTCCCAAAGGACATCATATGTCACTACACCACATGTTGACTAATGTAATGGCAAGGATTTTGAAGTTTCAAAAAGTATGAGAGGAAAATTGAACTGTGCAGTGAAAGTAGTTTTACCTGAGTGGACGACAGCACCGTGGAGCCAGGTTTGCGAACTCCTTCCTGCCTTCGCTTCAGCTTATACATGGCCACTTCTGTAGTGGGCAGACACAAAGATGTTTGAATGAAACCCTGCTTTTTACACATCATCTCCTCTTAGCTGTAGCTACCTACAGAAATTGAATGTTAATAGTTGTGCTGGTCTGGCAGGACCACTTACTGCTTGCAGGCTTCTCTGGTTGAGAGGCCTCAGGCTCCTGTATATTCCAGGTTACCCTCTTCACCTGATTCTTTGATTTAGCTCCAGCTAGAGCCGGCACCTGCTCCCCCCCAGCCACATTCTGCTCCCCGGCCACATTCTGCTTCTCTGCCTTTTTCTCCTTTTTGACACATCCACTGCTGGCCTCTGTGAACTCCGACTTCACATAGTCCAGGTTGTCCAGCATCACACCAACATTAAAGTCATCATCAGAGTCAGAGTCTTGCTGAAACTCCTGCTTCAAAGGGACAGTTGTCCACGCAGAGCTTGACTGTTCTTCTGCGACCGTTGATCCTGAGGGAGACTGAGAGGCTGCGTCCTGACAACAGTTCACAGCCGGTGTAACTACAGTATGCAAGGGTTGATGGCCTGATTTGGGTGAACTGGGCTCTGACTTGATTGTTATTTCACAAGCCTCCACCATGATCTCAGATGTTTCTGTCTTTATACGTTCTTGCTTCATTCCCTCCAGTTCAGTTTCTGGCAGAGAACAAAAGTCCATGGCTTCTTTTTTAATTGGTTTAATCATAGGAATATCTACAAACCAATCAAAAGAAGTGTCTTCTTTTTTTATTTCTTTTAGGAGCTTCATTTCTGTTGTGGGTTCAACATCTGCACTGAGGCTTGTTCTCTCCTTTTTTAGTGTACAGGAGGAGGTAGGTGATTGGAATCGATGTTTGTTGCCTTTTTCCGCATTTCTGTCTGTGACAGCGTGCTTCATGCCGTCCTCTTTTTTAATGTCTTTCAGCTCAGTTTTCCCTTTAGCCCGCGCAACACAGGACCCTGAGGAGTTTTGTGAACTCTTGGATGACTCCACTTTACTCTTTTTGTCTTCAACAGAAACTTTAGTTCCAGCTTGGTTTTTTTTACTGTTCTGAAGCTGTGTTGTTTTTCCAGAGGATGAACAGTGCACTTCTGGAGTTTCCTGTAAACTTCGAGATGATCCAGGCACTTCGTACTTTTTCTCCTTGTTGGAGCCTTTAAGAGCGTCATTTCCTTTTTTCCTCTCCTGTTCCTGTAGTTCCGGTTTAGCAGATGAAACAGTGGACTCAGTGGATTTCTTCTGTAAACTTTTGAGTGAAGATGTGCCCTCTGTTTTCCTCTCTCTTGAGCTGGATCTAGACTTGTGCCTTTTTCTGTCCCTTGATTTAAACTCTTCATTGTCTCTGCCAGAGAGAGAGGACTTTTGTTTGACACACGTGGGATCCGTCTTCCTTTCCCTGGATCTTGATCTAGATCTCGATCTGGACCGAGAATTTGAAGGGGAACGTTCACGTTTGGTGTTTTTTAATCTTGATGAAGACCTTGACCTGGAACTTGACTTCGACCGAGAGCGTCCGCGTCTACTGTCTTTGCGTCCTCTGTTGTGATCACTTCTTCTCTCATCAGTTCTCTCCTTGCTTTTTTCTCTGTGCTTTTTCTTCATTGAACGCTCTCTACTACTGGAACGGGAGATGGACCTAAAATCCAGTAGAAGCGGACAAAAAAAAACCATAAGTCAGGAAAATATTACACATTGAACAAATAGTGGACAGTGTTACACGTTTACCTGGATTGCTTCTTGTCCTTGGACCAGGAACGAGATCTCTGCCTTTTTTTGCCACTTCTGCTCTGGGAGTCAGAGCTCTGTGAAGAAGAACGTGCTCTCCTCCTCCTCTCTCTGGATCTTGATCTTCGCAAACTCTTTTCTTTGTCCTTTTTATTTTTTCGCCTTTCTTCCTGTTCAGATTTGTAATCATCTTCCACTCTGCTTCGCTCATTCTCAGAGCTGCATAGTTGTTCCTTGGTAGCTCTGGAGGTTTTCTGCTTCTGGGCCAAATCTCTTTTTGGAGATTTGGAAAAGGATTTAGAGTCTTTGGAATCCACCCTTGGTGTATTGGTAGTGGAAGAACAGCCAGTGTCTGGAGTTCCATTCTTACAGGTGGAGGAAGACCTGCCATGTGTGCGCTCCTCCCGTAGAGTCTTTTCAGTTTTTAAAGGACCTTGACTGTGACGAGCAGCTGGTGTCAGATCAAAAGGCTCTGATTTTAAACGTGTGTTATTGCTTTCAACATACCCATCTTCTTCTGCTTTGTCTAGATCAGGCTCTTCTTTAAATACTCTGTTATTAAAGGTTTGTTTCTCAACTTTAATGCCTTCTAAAACAGTGTCTTTCTCAATCTTAACTCGCCTCTCTGAGCCTGTGGACTCGTATGGTACAGTTCCCAGAACACTAGCTCTGCTCATTGGTTCCTGCGACACCTCGACCTCCACCGCTTCTATTTTAACATGAACCATGTTTTCTTTCTTTGGAACAAAATCTTCCTTATTTTCTACGCTGGGAGCCCATCTCCCAAGTGTGGCACTCTGGGAAAACTCATCTTGTGTTGAGGTTTCAGTTTCACTGTCAGAGTTACTCGAGTTAGACAAAGTGGGATCAAAGGGATCGTAGATATTGCTAGTGTCTTGTTCCTTATTAATAAGTGCACGTGACGCTAGGAGCATTTGCTTATCCCTGTGCAGCTGCCTTTTCTTTGCCTCATCCTCCTTCTTTTTCCAGTGTTTTTCCACATCGTCTTCTCTAGCAGGCGATGACGCAGTATTTACCTGTCTTGAATGCCAGGAGTTCCCACTGGAGTTGATGCGAAAGCTCACGGAAGAAGTAGAGGAGGAAAGCGACGAATACCGAGGTTGACCAGTGTTTGAACCAGTAGAGGAGGAGGAAGAAGAAAAAGAGTAAGAAAAGGCTGGTGAAGAGCTGGCTTCCCCAGGTCTATGTCTTGCAGCTTGACCATCAAACTTGCCCTTCTGCTGGTCTATACCTTGCTGTCTGCTATTATCTCCAGCAAGGCTGTTGATGCCCATAACAGGCTGGCCATGGCTAGTACTGGTACAGGTAGAATTGTTTCTGCTACAGTGTTTGTTTCTGCCATCTTGACCAGTGCCAACACTGGTTTCCCTTTTTAGTTTTGGTATCCTAGGTAACACTGATACGTCCACCCATGTAGGCTTCACTGATGCTTTTGTTGGTTGGATCTGTGTTGCAGACGGTTTCCTGCTTTTTGAGTTGGTGGCAAGGGTGGTGTTGATGGAAGAGGATGGAGTTTCTCTTGTGGCTCTGACTAGACTGCCCCCATGAACACCATTAGATGGGGTGAGTCTGTTGGGGCATTGTGGCTGCAGACTTGAGTGACCACCGGGTGGAAAATCAGCAAACGGAGGAGAGTGAACATTAGATGCTGTGGAGGAAGTCAGTGAAGGTACATGAGTGGAACTTGAAGGTCTGTTAATGGAGTTATGAGAAGATCCTGGAAGGTCTCCGTCTCCAGTGATTGGTGACATCTGTGGGTTTAACTGGATGCCAAAGTCTCCAGAAGGTCCACTTATGCTGCCCCCTGGATTTGAAGGAACTGTGGACAGGAGTCAGTGATAAGAGTTGGTGAGAGGAAACTAAAATATAACACTGCTGAAATAGGACAAGAAACAGTTTTATTTCTCACAGTGAACCAATAGGTGGTGGAATACTTTAATTTAACATAATTTTAATTGAATTGGAAGCCGTCATAGCCTAGTCCTTAGCCTCCTGCTAAGACGATCATTAAAAAAAAAAAAAGAAATCATCAGCAGGCTCGCTATGTTACCAATATTGGAAACTGCCTCAATGTTAGATTAGATCGATGTGTTGCAGCAACAAAAAACAAGAAACAAAAAATGATACAAATGGAAATAAAAAAATGCATTTTAAACCAGAATAAAGTTTACAGTGCCAAGGTAGAATAGACAAAAGGTAGATTTAATTAGAATATGAAAAACTAGAAATTATTCAAAGTAAAATTGTCCCTTCTTTGTCCAAAAATGGGAAAATTCAGTCTTTGCAACCGCACATGCTGCCATTGGAGTTGCCATTAAGTATCTAGTTCTTCTGGGAAGAGGAAACCAGGACATTCTGAGTGTAAGGCAGGCGTGACAGCTGTTACACACACACACACTTGTAAATATAAAAAAAAGGCTTACTTGGCTTTGCAGTTTTAAGAGAACCATCCCGGTTAATGACAACATGAGAACTGTCCATCAACAGCATGCTCTGCCCTGAGAGGATACTACCCAGAAGGTCCGGTACTGGAGCGGCCTCGACCACCCCAACTGACCGGGGGACATCCATCCCCCTCCTGGTATAGCATAGCAAACCTTTAATTACATTATTTATATTATAGCATATATCAAGCTAAATGATATATATATATAAAAAAAACATCTGACAATGAAGGTGATATTTAGCTGTAATATACAAGTTCTAATTCGGCAGCCAACCTTGTACTTTGACATAATAAACTAACAAACCCAGATACTAAATGAGAAGTTTAAACTGAGTAATAAATGTAAGCAGTTCCAGCTCTGCATTTTCTTCGACAACACATCAAACCCACGTCTCTACAGGGCAAAGGAAAGAGATGATTGTACCTGGAGATGCTAGCAGTAACAGGCCGCGCTACAGGCTGGTGAGAGCGAAGAGCGGAGCGAGAGATGCCTCGTCTCTTGGCCTCCAACAGTGATGTGGCGTGGTCCTGTTGTTCTTCTTCCTCACTGCATAGAGTCAGTTATAAGAACAGTAATACTACATGGCTACATACAAAAGTGCCAAACTTCCAATGATAAAGAAGCTGTACTGAGCTGTATCGTTTTCTAACGGTGCATATTTTCCTTATTTATTTTTGATCTATTTTCTTTAAAACAGTACTTCACCAGTCAACCCTTTCAAATGGCATTTACTAAACATTTCACGTGACTGATAAAAAAGTTCTCTTACCGTTCCACAAATGGATCCAGGTCAAATGGATCTCCATAGATGGAGAGAGAAGCTGCTCCTATATCTACACGCATACTGCTCAGAGTATGCTCCGACGGTCGGTAGACAGTAGGAAGTGAAGAACTCTTCTTGTCCTTCACAATACCAAGATTACTAGCGATACGGCTGCGAGGACCAGCTGCTTTTTTTGCCACCTTCTGAAAAAAAAATTAAATTAATGCTTTGCCTTTACTGGTAAACACAGAAAATATGTTCTGCAAATTCCAAGCTTGTCAAAATTGGTTGTAAAGTCTAAACAGAACATGTATTTTGGAATTTAAGCTTTGTCTTGCTTCACTCTTAATTCTTGTACCAGAGAATACAGGCTTTACAGTGTGACTTTACTTGGTAATTGTCTGGCATAAAAAGATCTCACGCTGTACCCAATCAAAACATTTCTTCATGAATTACCCTGAAGGTTGCATCACACAAGCAGATAACAAATGTACTACATCAGGTTGGCCAAGACTAAACATTGGCACATTGTGACAAAACAGAGTTTCAATGAAAAAGAAAAACACCTTAAGGACATACAACAAATATTGAAATCCCAGGGTTGTTCATGACATTCTCACCATCTTTTTTCTGGATTTAGTCTTCCTCACTTTTCTCTTCCTCCTCTTCCTCACACCAGATTTACCAGTTTTAGCGTTAGTTTTTTTGTGTGTCACCTTTCTGCGCTTTCCTGAGAAATAAGTAAAAACACACTACCAGTTAGATCTTCATGTCATCTGTCTTTAGATGGCATGTTGTTAATAATAACACTGTTTGGCATATTTAACCATCTTACGGACACGTCTTGTCCCGCCACGAGGTGTCAGGTCCCGTACGTACACGGCCGTGTTGAGCCCAGCCACCACAGCATTAATGGTCTCATCCAGCCACGTGGATTGGATCAAATACGTGGGGGCCAACTGTTAAAAAAAAAAACAACTGAACTCTCAATATGTTCACAACCCTTCATCATAAGCAAAGCACATATATTAGTATATTAGTATGTCCAATGTGCACAACAAACCGTTGAGTAACAAAAGTATTTTATTTTTTTCAGTGGGATGCCAGCTCTTGAAAAAAATAAGCCAATACAGAAGCATCACGCCTCATGCCAAACCTGCGATGAGCGTGCCTGGGAGATGCGATGTCTGTTTACACTGGCTCGGACTCTCTCACTCTGTTGAGTTCGGGCAATAGCTCTGGTAGGACCTGTGGCATGGGGCTGGGGTCGGCGGCGTACACTGGCTCTGGCAGTAGAGGGCAGGCTTTCTGCCTCACTAACTTCAGCAGAATTCCCTGAATCACAAAATTCACAGGACTTTGTGAAAAATAAAGGATGAGTTCTTATCTTGAAATCAAACAAGTCAGCTAAGTATTTAAGTTACATTATTGGATTAAAAGATTAATAAAAAACTGAAACTTTAATTTTAATTAAGAGGAATGAACATTAGTTATTCCCATGACAATCTCAGACTAGATATTTTTCTCATACAAATGTAAACATACGTCATTAAAGGTTAAAAACAAACAATTTTTAAATTTAGCAAGCAATACTGGAAGTCAGTCCAATCTATATCTGGATACAATTAGATAGAAACAATTAGAAACTGTAAAGTCCATTGAGACTAATGTGTAAAATTGACTTGACTAGTTCTGTATTTTACTGTATAATGATAACAATACATTTTGCAATACATTTTTTGTTAAACTTCAACATGTTCGTTGTAATGCGGATCAGAAACCTTAATGTGAAATAGCAATTATCATTAAAAAAATAATGGAGTCAGCAGCCTTCCTATCACTATTTTCATATAACGCAAAATATTTACTTGTATGGAGATTGTTAGCTTCACATTCAGGGCAGAACCATTCCTCTACTGGAACAGAGTCAAGTGGCGGAGTAAGACATTCCATGTGATACCTAAGAAACACAGAGGTTTTAATGGCATTTCAAACGGCTGTTCAAGAATCCACATTGATCTTCATACACCTGTGTAAAAATGTTGCCACACGACATTAGCAGTCTCACCCAGCATCACAGCCATCGCAGAGCAGCAGACGGTCCTCGCGGTCACTGCCCCCACACACCTCGCAGTTGGTCTGCTCCAAGTCCAGATCCACGGTGTCTTCTTGGCCTTCCTTTGCAGGCTTTTGTACTGTGATCTTTATCAAGCAGCCATCATGAACAGCAATGTTAGCATCTTACTGAAGGAATAACACGTAGTTAATGCAGGCATTTGGACACAAGGTGTAAATGATAGAAGAAGTGAGGAGTTTTCTTCATCCTTAGCTTTAGGTGGCACTTGTTCTCTATCTCACCCTCCTGAACTGCCTGCTCTACACAGCAGTCGTTAAGGTGATCAGCTGCACCTGTGCTTCCTTCCATGTGACCACAATGCAGGAGTTGAATGGAGTCTAATTGTACAAGTATTTTAAACAAGCTGAAACAAACTTACCATTTTCAATGTTTTGCCTCCATAACATTTTCTCAGGTAGATGCTATCGAAGGCAATTCGATCTACAGGACACGAGTTGGCATTCTTAGAAATGGAAAACAAAAACACAACAAAAAGTTGGGTTAAAAAAAAATATTTTTAATTATGATCAATAATCTGTGAGTGACAACTATCACTAGTATCTAATTTTTAGGTATAATTTAAGAGCATTATCCACGAGAAGCTTCATTTTTGCAGGCAAGAATGACTCACGGCTCAGCACCATGACAATGTAATTACCTGTCAATCCAACAGTGGCTTCCAGTGCAAGACAGCAAGGACTGTTTAAATGACCCTAATCAAGACTTATTAACACAGACCAAAGCTGCAGAAGTGTTCCCCGAGACAGTATAATGGCATGAGGAAGCCTTGGAATATGTTCCTTTGAGATAAATTGAAATTAAGCAGAAATATCTTGTGGTCAGTTGAGATTGTATCTCAAACGGGGTAGGGAGCATATTCCCAGTCATTAGGATACAAGGGCCGGGGGATTGAGTCAGGTTACTTCATGTCTTACAATTATAGCTTTTGTTTTGATTGACAAAGTAATAATGTTTTTATTCATAATGTATGTTTTATATTTAAAAAAATAAAAAGAGTAGAAGGTTTTCTACAATGTTTTTCCTTGAGCACTTCAACTTGAGCTTTCTACTTAGTTATCAAGTCAGTTCACTCAGACCCACCTTTGCCCATTGAAGGATGCAGTCAAGACAAAAGTAGTGCTGGCAACTCTCTGGTGTTGCGACAGGTTGGCTGCTGAATGAATTGAGGCAGATGGGACAATTTTCGGAGTCCTCATCAGAGCTCATCCCTCCGGGGCCAGCAGAGGTCCCTCCCACAGCACCAACCTCTACCTCAGTGTCTCCATCCTCTTCATCGTCCTCATCATCTAACAAACAGGGGAATGATATCTTACATTGAGTATTTATTGACAACAATACTATTTTACAACAAAATAATCACTTTTAGTACTTTATTTAACCAGCAGTAATTTATGTTGTGATTTGCCAGAGTTTTTACACCCAAATTTAGTGAATACTCAAAATTAGGGAGCATGCATGTGATATCAACAACATCACTAAGGAAATGTCCTGTGGAATTGGTGTACAATGGTTCAAAGGAACCATTCAAACCATTGGAAGTGAGTTCTAGATTCTGCTCTTTACTGATGTTCTTTACAACTTAAACCTCCACATATTTTACCAGAGTAGAAACATGAACATGTTTTTTAAAGTGCGCTATGTAGAAATGCACTATTAAGTAGTACTTTGGTTAGAAATAACAATATAACAGAAAAAAAACATCATCTATCTCTATAGTTGACAGACATTGGTCCAAAATATCTAGGGAAGCAATGACACTGTGTTTTGACTATTTTTTATTTTATTTTTATTTAAGATAAAATGATAAAATTGAAAATAATTATGGGAACATCAAAGTTTTGAGTGTGACATCGATTTATTCCTGAAAGCAAACAAAATAAGACAATTTAATGAACTTATAAAAAAGCTTTAGTGAACCCTATTGACATGATGTAACCATTGAAATAGCAATTATAATATAATGTATTCAATGGTTAATATCATAACCACTGCAATGTAATGCATTATATTAAAATTGAACCAAAACCAGTAGAAAAGAAACAAATGCCAATTTCATCAATATCTCTGCCATCAATACAATAACTTTTAACTATCAGTCTTACCGTCTTCTTTTTCATCCCCTTCTTCTCCGTCATCCTCCTGCTCCTCTCCATCTAGGTGACTGTCATCAGCAGAATCTCCTTCCTCAGACTCTTCTTCAACATCCTCTTCTGAGTCTAAATTGTGAAAGATATACAAACTTTCTGTTGTTGTGTATTCAACACATTGGTCAAGTAATATTCACACAGAAACATATAACAGCAGATACCTGAGATGAGCCACTGTGCAGTTCTTTTTCCTTTGCTGTGACGGATTGGTTCATCTTGGTTATCATCATCATCCATGTCAGGTCACACAATGGAACCACAGACTTTCTTTTACAATTTTCTTTTTTTGGAATCACTGGAAAACAGGACATTTTCAGTCTTTAAAACTTGAATTTTTCTGTTGTAAGCTAAACTATTTTTAAATACAATGCAACTGATATTGCGACACGACAGGAGATACTTCAAATATGTTAAATACGATGTTGAAGTACGTTTTAACACTGCCTTAAGCATACTTAAAGAGTTAACTTTTCCTAATACATGTGAACGACAGGTGAAAGTCGTAAACCAAACCAAAGAGAGCATGTCAGCATGTTTATGTTTGCAGAGAATCGTGTTTCTTTTAATGTAAAGTTCGGTAACCTTCGGAATATGCTAAAGCTACATTTGTACACAAAGCGAGAAACTGGAATAAATAAAGAAAACTTCTCGTGCAAATTAAAGCTTGCCTTCAGTGATAATGTACATTTAAACATTATCGATATGCACACTGACAACTCAGTGGGGCAAAGTGTAAGGCTGCCTCGGCTAAACAACTCACGCTAGCGCTAAATAGTAGCGCTTATATAGGAGGTTAGCATACCTAAGCTAAACATAGCTAACACTAAAAACATGCTCGGCTAAGCTTTGAACTAAAAAAATAGTAAGTGAACAGCTCTAAGAATCACAATGCAATAATTATATATGATTTTTAAGCATTTCCCTGTAAAACCATGCCTACCCTCTCCTGCAGGGCTTGGTGTGCTGAGACTGAATAGTAGTCGCTACGGTTTTTGAGTGACACCACCGGCTGGCTATAGACGGAAATGGCCGAATGCAGTCTGCCGAAGGGACAGCAGACGATTCTCAGTTAAAGGGAGTGTTAAACTAGTCTTTCTTTGCCTGCAGGGGGTGCAAAGTTATAATTTATAATCTTCTTCGGTGTGCTGTAATTTTTTAGCCGAGCACCGTTCTATGTCCCAGGTTGACGCACCCCCAATTTCCCACACTGAAAAAAAAAAACCGCAAAAAGATTCCTTATAAAGGCAACATGTTTAATCAAACTCAAATGACCGTAACACACATAAAACACTCCCACACATGCCCTGCATCTATTTATTGATGAAAATGTCAGCTTCTCATATTACATTTTACAGCGAAAATGTTTATTTACACGTCGTTATAATGCGTGGAAAAATGGGAAAATGCGTGAGTTATGCGTGGGAAAATTCAACTTAAAAAAACACTCCAAACCACCATCACAAGTTTTATCACGCGCACCCCCTAGTGGCAGCTCACCCATCCCACTTGGGAATTCC